ATCGATTTCACAACATATGTTAAGGATACTACATTTGTATATACTTTTGTACCTACCCATTCCACTTGACAACTCTGACCCGATACAGCGATGTCAATGGAAGTAGCAGTCGATTATTGTTCAAAAATTAGATTTTATACGCTTGAATATGCTTGAATCATGCCGGTTGAAGACGAGCTAAACTTCTTCATGGATAGACCCTCTACCGAAGAAGAAGACGCTGAAAACGTTGAGGAAAATGTCGCATTTTTTGTGGTTCGCAATGAAGAGTCTGAAGAAAGTGAGTCGGAAGATGAAAACGAAAGTTGTTGCGATGAGGTCAGGGCTTAGTTTTCGAAGTCGTTGTGTCTCATGACCACTGGATCTTCGAGGACATTCAGTGGATCAGCCGTTCCTGCCTTAACTTACAGAACCTAGGCATTTTTATGAATTGTTTATGACCATGTTTAGGATTTGATTGTAGACAATGCAAACAGATACGAAAAAAGCCGGAGCCAGTTTTTGAAACCGACAACTGTTAAAGAGACGAAAGTGTTCATTGGTCTGCACTTTAAGGTGAAAAATGTTAGACCCCAATGCCTGAAGTTTTGCCCCAGTTATAGAGAAAACTTTGAAAAGGACCATATTTGTGGTAGTGAAGCTATTGGGGACTTTGTCGGATTAAGTAGGGAATTCGTATATTGAAAATTCGTGAACGACTATCTCTTTGGCTGAGGGTTTACACCAGAGAAATAAACATTTGATAGGTACAAGAAGCAAGAATAGAATGGAACTACCGTACCAGGTTGGAGAGCAGAGTAGGAGTGAGGGCTCATCACCTAGAAAACGGAAAAAGTGCTGTACTTGTCATCCTCCATAGTTTGGATTCGTTTCTATCCCGCCCTGTCACTTGGACATGTTCGATGAACGCACTGAGGATCTTCTACGACAACGTATGGAGAGTGGATCTAAGATCCAAGTGCATAGGAGTTTTCCTCAAATTGTAAGTGTCCCTGCATATACAAATAGCCACTGTTACGAAGATATCGGTACAGTCCCAAGGAGACAGAGGCATTGTGTCGGCTGTTACCACAAAGTGGCAAAATACTAAAACCTTTTACCTACTTCGATCACCTAAACATTATATGAAGTTCTGCAGATAGTAGTAGTTTCGAATTGTATACAGAAAGTGCATGGACGAGGTAAAGCAGTGTAGTGATGCCGTTCACTATGCGGAGGGACCGAATCATCAAAGCTCTGGTTCGGCCTCGTACCAGGCTCACCAAGCATCTCATCTCTCTGGGGTCAGTAGATTGGTACCGGATGTGCCTGAGACAAATTCATTTCCTCTAGATTACGTGGGAAAAGTGTAGCACGGCTATCACACGATTCCAGGGAGAATCGACGTGACGAGCATTCAACGGCATTCATGGCTAAATGGAAAAAATCATCAGGCAGCAGCCGTATCCAAATGCAGAGAAGTTCAAAGACCTTGGGGGATGTGGATGAGAGGAACCGAACTGAATGCAAGAAGTGTTCGGATACGTACAATGTGATACATGTCATGTCGGATCGTATAATAATGTTACTTGATACTTGACATTTGAACGGCCCGTCCTCACTGGTTGCGCGAGCCCTAGCATAATCGCCATTTTTCTGAGATTTGCTGGTTAAGCCACTGTGGTTCTTTGGAATCTTGAGGTCAGCCTGGCCAAAGTCCGCCCCAGGTCTTGACCACCACAGACATTCGCAGCCCTTGTGGATCAGAGGGAAATTTGCCACCATGCGACTTTGATAGCTGGACGGTGGTGGATCATGGTATTTGTTTACTCTTAGTTAGGCCTCTTGATAGAAACGCCGGACTCCTTCTCAGTTTGGGAGACCCTCCAAGGAGGATAAGTCCCCCTGCTGCACATCGCATTCCGAAACCGAGGAGCACCTCCCAGCTACGATGAGGTGGTAAACCGTTGGGAGGATAATAATGTTATGAAATAAAAATATAGTAAATGCGGAAACTACGAGGTTTTCTGATTGTAAAATTGTAGTAAAGGATAGGGGATAAGGTTCTCGACGTTGATCAACCGCTGAGTGATGCGCCATGCATTCGACTTTATTAAGCATCCTTGGAGGTGATTGAATGCATATTTGGCCTTTACATTGGCTCCCAATGGCCTACCTATGAAGCAGCCACTGCTGCTATCTTCCCAGGCAAGCCTGATTCCGATTAGGAATGGTAAGCTTTGTGGGCCTGGAGTGCAGAGATCGACTTCATGTGAACTGCAGGGCGCCTCCGACCATTGCGCCACACGCGCCTCCAAAAATTGTGGTAATGACTGTAAATTGGTGGTGTAATAAAAGGTGTATATTGTAGAGAGTACGAATTGTTACTATTATAAAATGTGTATCAACATGTAAATGACAAATTACTGATTGTAAAATAGATCTTTTGAAATTTTCCGAAACTTTCTATGAACACCACTGAAAGGCTGTGAGAAGGAGAGTAGAGGGAGTTGGGATTGTGCAGTATTTCCAAATATACCCTGTGTGAAAGCACATCACTGTGAACGTCCTGGCGCTTCTACAATCGATGGGTTTGGTAACCCTGAGCACGCGTCAACAAGAGTTTTATCCATCATAGGACTCCTCAATTGTCAAGCAGTATGTAGTGTCGGCGAGCCCATAAGTGTCGCTCTCTGGTGCAGAAGCGAATCAGAGACCTCCTAGGACCCTGTTAAGTGGTGCTAGACTTTCGGAAGGAGATACTGCATCACCCTCTTCAGCAGTACTTGTCTCTCGACGTGAAGTAAAACTCTTTCAGACGGGGACGAACTCGTTCGAATGGCTGCTTGTTGACCAGTGTGTCGTGTCGGCGAGCCCCTTAGTGTCGTTCATTTGTACAGAAATGAATCGGGCGCATCTGAGTGCCTTCCCCAGTGGTGGTAGACTTTCGGAGGGATATACTGGACTACCATCTTCAGCAGCACTAATCCCTCGCCATGACAAAACTCATTCAGACGGGAACGAACTCGCTTAAATGGCAGTTTTTTGTGTACTATTAGGAATAGACCATGGCTTTCCTCAGATGTTTGGAACAACTCAGTGGACAAGCTACCGAAAGAGTATAAAAATTGTTGCAAAGAAACTTTGTGAAGCAAAATGAAAGTCCATAGGTCTAGTCTCCTCATGAATTATGCGGATTTTTAAAATAATCGGAAGTTAATTTGAGAAGGGCTAAAAGTGAGCCCAACCAAAATGCTGAGATATGTTTATGCATATGAACTCAAATAATTGGGAACTTAGTAAAAGACTATTCGTGATCATCTCCAACAATGATGTATCACATTTGGCCAAGGAGAACCTCCTTAGCTTCCCATTTGGGTTTGGCGGGTATTGCACTGCTGCCAAAGACACTAGTAGTAGAAAACTCCATACGGGAAATGCGGTGGTCTCGCTGTTCCATTCCGAGAGAGCAGCGCCCAGTGGAAAGCGCTTACTGGCCACATGATCAATGAGGATGTGCTCTGGTCTCTGGTCACTCCACAATGGCACGTGATCGCGATGGCCCAGTGGTGTCTCCAAACAGTCGTTCTTGCTCCTCGTGGGCTTCTTTCTGTCGTTTTCGCTAAAGAGGAATTTAGGTTCTGTGACGGGATCGGGGGAGCCGTGGGCTGCGAATGGTGCACGCGGTCGGCACTCGGCGCCCGTGGGTAGACGTGGCGAGCAGCGCGTTCGCCCTCGCGTCGGCGCTGCCGTCCGCCATGAACAGCATGCAGATCGCCGGTCTCTTCGAGAAGGTGCGCGGCACTCCGCAGTGCTTCTTGGGCCGGTACTGAGACGAATACGAATCGTTCCAGGTTGAGAAGGAGCCACTCGATGCATGTCCGTTCACAGCTGAGCTATCGTCGCTGCGAAATGCGGTAGGTTATGTTAGCTTTCTTTTTTCTTCGCTGGGTTTTGATCCATTGTTGCATGCACGTGTTTTTCTTCGTGTTTGTTTCGAAACTGTTGATTAAGTATAGCTTTCAGTTATGACATGCAGTTGCTTTATCGCAAACAATTTTCGCTTCTTTCATTTGTCTAAGTTTCTTGGACTTACAATGTCTGGTCGCGTTTGTTTTTTCTGACCTGTAAATCCTTAGTCCTTGGGGTTCACTACTTTTGACCTGCTGGCGATTGTAGCCATTTAATTGGCCTCCGAGTATCAGTTCTGAGTGTAAGATTTTCCAAAAAGTGCTCAACTATTGGCGTAGAGTGCGCGATTGATCGCTCTTTGTCCGTGTTGAGAGCCTATGGCGATGCTCGAACTGGTCCTCTAAACCCTGCGTATTTAGTGTAAACAGTACTTCCCTTTGAAGCGGGTTCATTCATGGTTTCGTCCGAGATGTGCTTGAGAAGTCCCATTTCGGAGAATTTAAGAAAAGCTCTCAACTAGCGAAGAGTTACCGAGCCCTTATACTTCATAATCGCTTTTTGCCACTATGCACTTGTCATTGCTAGAGCTGTACATTACAGTATGAGCAACCGTTGGGGTTAAATTTGCATTAACACATTGGTCGGTTATCTGTAGCACATTATTTGATCCTACTAGTAGAAGTGCCGCGTGTAGCGCAGTGGTCGGCGCCCTGCAATGCACATGGGATCGATATCCATGGCCATGGCTCACCAAACCTTCCATCCCTCCGGGGTGGGCAAATTGGTACCAGACTTGTTTAGGAGGATAGCAACACTATTGGCTACTGCCAATCATTGTAAAGGCCGGATATACATTAAATCACCGCCAACGATGCTTGATAAAGTCGAATACATGGTGCATCCCTCAGAGATTGATCGCCGAGAGCTTCATCATTTTAGCTTATACTAGCAGAACAAATACATTTGAGAATGCAAAAAAAATGTGCTGTGTCATTTTTGCAGAACTTATTTCTGTTTCTACAGCGCCACATCTTCAATTTCTAGCGTTTCTTTTTCTTGAAGAACCAATTATGAATTTATTTTCTAATTTTGTACGAATAACCTTTAGAATGCGCAAAACGAAGAGCCTTAGTCTTTGTTTTAGGCAATCCATTTTCTTCTTTTTTCATTATTTTTCACAGTTTTTGAAATACTATCAATCAGCGGCTTCAGCGTTCTGCATTTACAGACTGGTGAGTCGCTTCTCATTGTCGCTGCACGTTCAAATAACGTGCAAGCCGTTCGAGTTCTTGCAGTTGATGCCGAAGTCATAGACGAAACAGACAACGTAAGATTTACTGTGAATGTTTCCTTGCATTTTTCTCCAACGTTGATTTAGGAAGGGTGGAGTGCATTGCTAAATGCTGCCCATAAAGGTCATGCCGAAGTAGCAAAAATTCTGCTAGAGAATGGAGCTGCCGTTGATTTACCTGATCTGGTTCGTTTCTATATGAAGGGCTAAACGGTGCCTTATTCTCAGCCTTCTCTCATCGATTTTGTATTTCTTAAGTCGGTTCCTTGTCTGAAACTATACCCTTTGGTTTTATTTTCAAATTAAGATGGGATGGAGCCCGTTAATGTGGGCTGTTTACAAATGTCATGCGGAAGTAGTCGATATTCTTCTAAGCTATGGAGTAAGCAGCTTTGAAATACGTTGCTGTCTTTAGTTTTTTTGTGAATTTCTAGTAAGATTGCGAAACCTAGGTGCATGTTAATCTCATTGATGAGGAAGATGGCCTGACTCCCCTTATTGTAGCAGCTGGACGAGGGTTTACCGATATTGTTGAAAAGCTTTTGGCGGCTGATGCACAGGTGACACATCAGTTGGGATTCTTCCAGCTTCCATTGATCTGTCACGAGTTGCAGGTCAACGCTTGTGACAAGTTTGGCAGTACTGCTCTTATTTGGGCGGCGAGGAAAGGACATCTTCCTATTGTGCAGATGCTTCTCAACGCAGGTGCTGAAGTAGATGCTGTTGGAATGGGAAGTTTCTATTTTGAGCTGATTTAAGCCAATAGAATATTCTTGATAGAGCGTGTCGTTTTCTTGTTCAGCAATCGCGAGGTTTTTAAACAGCATACATTTACTTCCATAAAAACACAATAAAATACAACGCTAGCTGACGTTTCGGCAGTATCACCTTCTTCAGAGCCTGGAAGGGTATACTGATATACAATCTACTAGCCAAACGCTTCAATAATACTTACAAAAAGATTAGGCCTAGTAGATTGTATATCAGTATACCCTTCCAGGCTCTGAAGAAGGCGATACTGCCGAAACGTCAGCTAGCGTTGTATTGTATTGTTTTTATGGAAGTAAATGTATGCTGTTTAAAAACCTCGCGATTGGTGAACAAGAAAGCGACACATTCATATTCCAGTGCCGAGGTTAAGAGAAAATCGATCCTGGGAACTATTCTTGATAGAATCTTGATAGAATGAGTCTTGATAGAATGAAGGCGAATAATATTTGCTCTTAAAACATCTTTTATCACATTATGGATGGCGTTGAATTTCAGGGGTCATCAACAGCGCTTATGTTAGCAGCGAAAGGTAACTATCTTAGTGTTGTGGATCTTCTTTTGACGAGAGATCCAAACGTGAATGTAGCGGATCAGGCAAGTAATTAATATCTTCGACCTTCTTTTCAGGGTTGATTGTGTTCATTTCAGAATGGCCTATCAGCGTTAGGAATAGCAGCGCGGGAAGGCTATGTTGATATTTGTGAATCGCTTATAAACTCGGGTGCTTTCGTCAACCAGTGTGATAAGTTAGTCCTCATGATGGTTGTTTCGAAATGCTTTTATCATTTAGAAGTAACTACTCTGCGTTCTACTTAAATTATGGAACATTTCCTAGATACGGCAGTTGGATTTTGATCAGTGCAGTACGTAGTGGGAACGCAACTATTGTTCGCTTGCTCCTTGAGAAATTCGCAGATGTCAACGCCAGAGATTCGGTGCGGAACTATCTAGTATTCTTTATTATCCTTCATCAATTATATTTTCTTCGGTTTCAGGAGAACAGGACTGCTCTTCACCTTGCAATTGATAAATCATTTATGGATATTGTATATATTATACTGGAAAGAAAACCGAACCTAGAGTTGAAGAACAAGGCATGTGCTTTTACGTTTGACCATTTGCACATCGCTATGCTTCATCAGTGAAATGTTTCTGTTCCTTTTTCTTCTTCTTTTTCCTTGCGTCGTACTGCGTATGGTAACAGAATTTAGCATAGTGACAGAGGAATCCTCCCAATGGTTTACCGCCTCACCGTGACTAAGAGATGTTCCTGGGTATCGGGCTGCCATGTATAGCGGGGGATTCATTCATCCCTCAGGAAGGTCGGCTAAGGGTAAACCAATAGCAGGATTCACCATCGTCCTGGTATCAAAATACTCGCATGGTTGCAAATCCCCCTCTGATCCACAATGGCCGCGACTGACGCGACTGTCTGTGGTGGTGATAACCTGGGGCATACTTTGGCTAGGCTGACCTCGGGACTCCAGGAACCGTATTGGCTGGGCTAGCAAGGTTCCGAAATAATGGAGATTGTGCTAGGGCCTGCACAGCCCAGCCACTGAAAACGGGCCATGCAGGCCGTCCAAGTATCCAAGTAGGATCCAGCTCCATAGTCGGGATGGTATTGCTTGAATGAACTCTTGGTTTTACTCATAGTTTGGGTAACTCTGAAGCTATAATGTAGAAGAATCTATACACTATTTTAGGATGGCGAAACGCCTTTACTTCGTGCTGTAAAATGCCGTCATGTGGCACTGTGTGATCTCCTAGTAAAAGCTGGGGCAAAAATTTCTGCGGCAGACAATAACGGAGACAATGCCCTTCACCTCGCTTTAAGGGCAAGGAGTCGTCGCCTCACGCAGATATTATTAGGTATGAACACCATTTTGTCAATTTTTATTTCCTGCCGTATAGTTTTCTTGTACTTCACAGATTTAAGTCTAATCTGCAGCAAACCCTTCCGATTCTCGTCTGCTTTATCGACCTAATCGCCTCGGTCAAACGCCGTACTCTATCGATCAGGGAAACCCTCAACCTATTCTTCCTCTGATTTTTGGACCTATTGATGCGGACCAGCAAATGGATACTATGTTGGGATATGACGTGTACAGCAATGTACTTGCAGACATAGGTTCGCTCCTGTTTCTAAAGGTACTCTTTTTTTGATCAAATTGTATGGCGTTTAGTATGCGAACCGTCGTTATCGCTTCCATTAACTATTGGTCTGTACGCTAAATGGGGATCAGGGAAATCGATTTTGCTAGCGAAACTCAAGGATTCCATGAACAGTTTCTCTCGCAATTGGCTTGAAGGAGCACATTTAACGTAGGTTTAAAATCAATTTGGCACCGAGATAACATTCTTGAACAACTTTTTCTACTTTCCCATTCAGAATCTCGGGTATTGTATTCTTCTATATTATGCTATTCTGTGTTGTTCTTACCATGACACTTACGACGATATTCGCTATACTTGCAAGTCTACCAGCGTTGATTGCAGTATGGATTGTTGGACTATGTGTTCTTACACTAATGATTTCATCATATTGTAGGTTTTCCACTTTCCAAAGTAATTTTCACGATGACTGTGCTTTGATTACTGAAGGATTTCTAACACATTCGCGGAGACAAGTTGGACAATTCTCGTTGATCACAATGCATTTTATTTTGAGCTGTTTGTTTTGCTGCGTAGTGTTTGTTCAATGCTTTCTGTTCTAATCAGTTATTTCTGGACTACGTTTTGGGCATGGTCTGAGAAAAGCTGTTTTATATATCTCGTAGTTCACAAAAAAGCTGTTCTTTCGTCATTTGGTCCCCTAATTGGTTTTTGCGAAAGAACGAGTGTACCACAGACCTTTTTCTGAGGATATTACTAAGATCGCTTTGCTGACACGTCAAACTGTGACACATGAGCACCTTCTCATGGCACTGATGTGGCAAACCACTTTGAAGGCGTATCCGCATGTGAGAGTATATATTTTGTACTCTGAGTCGTCGGTAATGCCCTTTTGTAATAATTCCTTAAAGCAGCCGATACAACATCTTTTTTTGCTAGTCGAATCTCTTCTTGTACGTGACCAAGACATGTAGGGTGTGGACAGTCTGCGTATCGTAACCAAACCGAACTACATAAATTTTGAGTTCATTCTTCGCGTTTTCTGGATATTTTTCTTGCGATAAATCCTACATGTGTACATCCAATATGTTTACGTGACTAAGTGGAAGAACAGCCATATAAAAGGAAGAAATAGATAAAAATGTACCTAAACTATGAGGAAATTAAGTTGTGAATACGATGGACTAGTTTTTTTTACGACGCATAGAGAAAATGACTCTATCGGATCACGTGTGTCCACAAAATGGGTTTCCTAGCTGAAGTTTTTGATCACCTTTGGCCTTGAATCAGTTGATTCACTTTAAATTTACACCGAAGAAACAGAGTTTATGAAACAGCAATGTGTTCCATCATTTATTTATAAAGGATGTGCAATACATTTGACTTCATCAACCATCGTTGCAGGAGATTGAGCACATTTCTGGCCTTTACAGCGACTCGCGGTGACTTACCGTGGTATCAAACCAGTGCGGTTATCCTCCTAGACCAGTCTGGTACCAATTTGCCGACCCCGGAGGGATTGGAGGCTTAGTGATCCTGGAAGGAGGGGTTCGATCCTCTATGTATTGCAGAGCGCCTCCGACCACTGCGCTATAAGTGTCCCGAAAAAAAAAATAACTCTGCTTGCTGTATAAAGCCTTAACGGCGACCGATACAACTTTGGTAGTTGGGCAAACTCTCTGCACCATACACGAGAGGAGGAGATTTTCCAAAATTTTGGTGCGATACGAAGGTGGAAAATGCAGAAATTCCATATAGATTATGTAAAAGAAAAACCGGTTTATAAAGCGAAAGGACTGAGCAGAGGTGAAACGTCGTTTCTAGCGACATTTCGATCTATATGTGTTGAATTCAATGCATGCTAGACATAGTGAGTAAATAGGTATGGTCGCTTGGGTTGCGAGCAAGAAATGTGTCTGCGTTACGCTTTCATTTTCGCGACGCGCAGAATGCGTTGGATTTAATGCATGTGAAACGCCAAACTTCCAACGTATTTGGAACATTTCTGACTATGTTCGTATTTTTGTTGAGCAAACGCGGGGTGTTATTATTCTTTGTTCACGATTAAGCTGACGTTTCGGCGGATTTCGCATTCCATTTCTGACTATAACGCGCGACAAGAAACACCCGTCCAAGCTTAGTCATCGAATCCTTTGGTAGGTGATTTCAAAACATGCGGACTGGGCTTCGGCTTTTTAGATTTTTCCTAACATCAACCAACATTTCAACAGGATATAGTTGAATACCTGCACTATTCTCAGCGGTGCATGGTGTTTAAAGTGCAGCGGAATTCCCGTGGCATGACGAACAAATTTGTCTAAATTATTAAATCTAGAATATGGCTTCTTTCAGACCATGCTCTGCCCAATATTTGTACTCAGTCAACTACCGCTCGAATGTAGAAGCTACTGCAAGGAAGCATACGCAGCCAAATAAACAACTGTAAAGAAAACTCACAAGGGATGCGTTGAAATCAATGCATATGGTTACGAGTGTGTTAAATTTGGTTTCAAATCAGTCAGTATTTGGCGTTACTAGTAACTAAACTGAAATGACAATAAGTATAATTTTTAGCTTAAATGTTTTTTCTAATTGACACAGTGTATTTGGATCAAAACGTGGTCAAGTACTCTGTCGGAAAATGGGAAAGGGTTGCACTGCTTTTGAAACACCTCGTATTGAAATTCTCCGTTTATTTCTCCAGTTTTCATCCATCTTTACCTTTCACCAAGTTCTATAAGTCTTCTTTATTTCATTCATAGGTTTATGCTGTTGATCTAGGCTTTATTTATTACGGAAGCGAGATTCGCGGTTGGTCTGCTCCTTGTCGAGTTGCGAATTCTCTTTCGCATTTCATCTACCGCATCCGTTTGCTATGGAACGTCGCTACCCTCTACGCCCCTATGCACTCTGAAAGCGATATTGCAAGTAATCCAGTGAGGTAAGGATGCTTGATGTTTATGCACTTCACGTGTTTAAAACTCCTGGATCATGCTTTTCTATCTTCACTGTCAACTTCAGCTTTCTGTTTGCTGATTATCATCGTCTGTCATCAATAGGTGGCGAGCAAGCGCTGGCTAAAATCGTTGCGACGTTGTTCGAATCCGCTGAAGCACATTTTGGCGTGTTGCCGGTTCGCCTTTTCTGTTCTATGAGAACAGCATATCGTAGGTGTTTGATTTACCCAGCTCTAAAGTTCGTTTAATTAGTATAATGGTATGGACATCATGTACAGCACAGAATTTTCTGCAGTTTCGATGGTAGAGAATCAAATTTGAGTGTATTAGACGCAAAATCGACTCATTGTTTTCCTAGTCATTTTATGAGTCCCTCATAAATATTGTATAGCTACGAATCTTTTACCAACGTTTAACGCCTCATCATGGCTGGGAGATGTTCCTGGGTGTCGGGCTGCTATGTACAGAAGGAGGATTCATTCCCCTCCTCAACATCCCTCCAAAGCTGAGGAGTCCGACGTTCCCTTCAGGAAGCACAGCTAAGAGTAAATCAACACCACAGTCCACCACCGTCCTGGTACTAAACTAGTCTCATGGTGGCAAAGCTCCGTCTGGTCCATGAAGGCAGCGACTGCCTGTGGTTTCGATGGTGGACAATCAAATTTGGTGGCGACAACCTGGGGCAGGCTTTAGCTGGACAGACCTTTGGAATTTAGGGAACCACAGTGGCTAAACCAGCAAAACTCCGGAAGAATGGAAATTATGCTGGAGCTCGCACGACCAATTAGGACGAGCATCCAAGTATCCAAGTAATTTAAGAATCTTTACGGAAGTGTTGGATATGGGTGTGAACTTCTAGCTTTATCCCTACTTAAAAACTTGTTTTCACTACCCCGTCTTTCCATTATTTCTTTCTCATTAGATATCATACTTCCTCATTTAACATTCCATATATTGCTACTTAACGATTTCAATGTCGACAAAGAAGAGAAAAAGAGGTGTCGGATATGATTGTGTTATTAGCGGGACAACACGGATCTCTGCGTAAGCACTGTGGTGTGCCGATTGTGCTGTTGGTCGGTATAGCTGTGTTTATGTTGTTATGTTCGGAAGTGTTGATGACAACGTGGCTGTTCAGCAACAGAGATGCCAGTACCGGAGCGTGGGTTTTCCAATCTCTTTCTCACATGCAATTTTTCGTAACTAGAGTTTCATTTGGGTGCGTGCTACGCACTGGTCAGCGGCGCCCTGCAATACACATGGGATCGATCCCCGCGCCCAAGGCTCACCACGCCTTCCATCTCTCTGGAGTCGGTAAATTGGCACCAAACTTATCTGGGAGGATAGTGGCATCATTATTTCAGTCACCTCCAATGATGCTTAATGAAGTCGAATGCTTAGCGCATCCCTCAGGGACTGATCAACGCTGATAGCTTTATCCTTTTTGAGCTTTTATGCTTTCCTTTAATGTTTTTCAAATTCCTTAAAAACGAATTGTTAAACTTTTTGGATGTTTAGTCTGTTCGTTGCATCTGTCGCATTTGCTGCTGTGCTACTTATGTTAACAATCTACCCTGTCATTATGTTAATACGGTTTGGATACACAAATGTTCCTCGGAAGCGAGTAAACGCAGCTGCAAGATCGGTTCACAAGCTTCGCTTCGAGGGGTTTATGCAAAAGCTGCAAACCGAAGTTCGCGTCTTTTCCTTTTTAAGACATTATTTCTTTTTCTTTTGCTGAAGAGAGTAAAATTTCAGTTTTAGCAAAGTTTTTAAGGTAATTTCTGTAATACAAAATCGAATCCTTTATAGGTAGACATTCTTGCTGATATGATTCGGTCTTTGGACGCATTCACGCGAAGTCAGACTCGACTGGTTGTCGTTGTGGATGGTCTGGACAATTGTGAACAGGTAAGTAACATTAATTTATCACTAGCCTCCTCTTTTCCTCCTTAACGTTTTGTGTCTGTTTTAAAGGAGCGTATGGTCCAAACTTTGGATGCGCTGGAGCTACTATTTTCTGCTCGAAAACACCGTCCATTTATCACGATTATTGCTGTTGACCCACATATAATTGTCTCAGCTATAAATCATAACATGCATTCTGCTCTTAGTGGTGAGTTCTTTGTTATCGTTCTTCACTCGTCGAAATTACGTTGCGACTCACAAGATGTCCATATTGCCCAGCTATCTACATTCATCGGCTTCCTTTTCTATGTCACCTTCCGTTTCCCCTCACGTTTCTTATGTTTCCAGGGACAGAGCTAACAGGTCACGACTATTTGAAAAATATTGTGAATATGCCACTTTACCTTCACAATTCAGCACTGCGTCAGCTGCAAAACAAACTGAAGGTCCGTATTATTGGTCATGTCTAAAAATATTTATATCTGATTCATCTTTAACATGCCAGGATAAGCACGAGTCGCTTGCTGATTGGAGAGAACGTTATCGTCGTCAAGATACTTTTCATGGGTCTCATCTTTCATTGGTTGATGGACGTCAGAGCCGGAAAGTAAATCTCATGATAATTTGTCTTTTAATACATTCGTGACTATATACATTGATTTCACCTTGCGCATGAGTTAGGACATGTTTCTGGGCGGTATGCATTGTTTTCAATGTTTCTCTCCATGATTTGCGATGTGATAGTACCCTTCAGGCCATACCTCTCGTATTATTTCAACAGTTTTTCTACCACAGATATATTGTGTCGTCCAGAAAAACTCGCTGCAAGTGCATCACATGAGGGCGATTTCTTACAGATTTTTTTTAAAAGGAGTACCACAAGGGTTTCTGTTGTTGAAGATTGCGCAAAGATGTTTCCGCCCTAGATGCATTTCGGACCAGATCCATCGAGTTTAATGCATATGTCGTATGGTGAAAAATAAGTTGCCGTCATATGCCCAACCGTGGAGTGTTAGACACTACTGCGAATGTGTTAAACGACCAATTTGAGTTGTCTTTTTCAAATCTTATATCTCTGAAAGCCTTCAAATTTAGGCCACGATAGTCATGGGTACCCGGAATATTGGGGAATCGCTCCTGAATGATGATTATTTCTCCAATATGAATCCTCGTGCTATGAGACGGATTGTTAATGCACTAACTCTCACAGGTAGTTCTCCATAAATTCCAAAGAAGAGTTCAGTGTTTTCTTTTTCACTAATTGGTGATGGTGATGTTTCGATGTTTAGTGGAATGATAAACTCGATCTCGTAGGGACCTAGGCATCAAGATCTTCAGATTTTTAAATTGTTCTTTCTAAGACATACCAAAGTTACCTCGTGCTTGCTGAACAGAAGTAGAAAGATATATTCAATCAATGCCCAGGTTAATAGAAAGTCGGACTTGGGACATACCAGAGTCTTCCATGTAATTATTCCATTAACTACTTTCCCTTACCTCTTCTTTTAAACGCATCTTTCCTATTGCAACATGTTTATCGTTCATTTCAAAACCTTCCTTCGTTTCAACATTAAAGATTTGCTGTATACTTTATCACCATATCTCAAACGTGGAAAACGACGAAAAGGCGAAGTGTTTGGCGTTGACAAATTCGTTACTGAAACGCTGTACATTTTGGGCTCATGTGACTATCGTGGCAGTTACTGAGTGCATGATTTGGCCTGTAGTATACTTCTCAGGGACCTGTTGACGTATGGTATATTATATCAGTGCTTTATCGTTTTAGACAAAGTTGATATTATTTTGCAGACCCTGTAGAAGTGGTTATCTTGGGGAATGAGTTGAACCAATGCGGTGCATTTGTTCAACTCATTCCCCGAGATACAACTATATTGCGGTGCACTAGTAGCTACAGCGCTAGACACCCTTACACAGCTATAAATAATCTTCATGTTTACAACCTTTCTATAATGGTAACGAAAATCAACCTTGTACACAGTAGATGGTTTGGAAAGGGAAAGCTTTTGTGCGTCACTAATATTCCATTAAATTTCTCATGCTGAAGTAGCATGTGTATTCGCTGTTGAACTACTCTTGTATAATTATATTTGTAAGAAATCTAGGTCGACTCATGAGGGCATTCGAGATTGATTTCTCTTGGCTTGCTCTTGGTCACTGGGTTTCGCTACTGGAACAGTGGCCTAGTCGGATGTGTTGGCTAATTGAGAGAGCTGTCGATATCAGCAACAATGGCTTAACACTTGTGGAGGTATAATGTTCTCTGATTATTGGTGAGTACAGAATTGTTAGATAGATTGTTTTAGGTGTACCACCAGCTGAAAGACCACATTCCAAAAAAGGACTCATTGATCGAATTGGACCGGAATCCAGATAATTTTGAAGTCAGTTTTCGGTTATGCTTGGAGAATCTTCTCGAATTTAGTAAATTTTTACCTTTATGCTCTTTTACTGTCCAGACATAGTTTCGCATTTTTGTGTTCAGACTTTTCTGGACTCTCCGGCTATTCCTAGTTCTGAACAGCTCACTGTAGGACACGTCAAAAAATTTGTCCCATGTACTAGCAATCTCGATCCATATTTACGGAAGTTGATTAGAGGTACGTTTTGAAGCAAGTTTAGATGATTTTTGTTTTAACACATTCCTTACTATATGCACTGATTTGAATATGTCATTTATATCTCGCCGAAAATATTGCTTCTCAATATTTAAAAAATTTAATCCGGCTCTTAGCGAAGTTCATCCAGTTTAATATGAACCCCTGAAATGTATATAACTTTGCCTACAAGTTAAAAGTCTAGTAATAGAAATGTTTTTGGAGTACGCAAGTTGTTTTTCCTTTTGTTTCTTCGGCCACCACGGGCCTAGTAAGACACGGGATGTGCCTGGATGTGTCGTTGGTATTGGCGACTGCGGTCCTTACATTTGAGATCACATTTTTTGGTTTATCTTTATTGATTGCCAATACTTTTTAGACGTAATAATTACTAATGATAAAAATCATTTCTGATTAATGTCAGATGATGTTTTTTGAAAGTGCAGCACAAAGTTTATTCTTCATTCTCGTCATATCAGATCTTCAGACACTCCAGTTCAATGAGCCGATGTTGCGCAGTGGTCGGAGGCGCCTTGCGACACACACACACACACATAGGATCGATCTCCGCGCTCCAGGCTGACGAAACTCTCCATCCCTCCGGGGTCGGCAAATTGGTAGCAGACTTGTCTGGGAGGATAGCAGCACTAGTACGATACATTGGTAGACCACCGCGAGTCACTGTAAAAGCCAGACTTGCATTCAGTCACTTCCAACGGTGATTTATGAAGTTGAATGCGTGGAAGATCCTTCAATGATTGGTCAACACCGAGAGCTTTATCCTTTAATCTGCAGTTGTAAAAAATCCTTCGACCCGAATATTTTAGAGAACTGTTGGTGACACCGAAGCTATGTCTCATCATCGAATTGACGTATAACTTCACCTATATCACCTGTAGTCCAGTTGATGGTCGGGTGACTCGAGCGGGCGCCAGTAAATCTTCCATTTTTCCCTGGCGCGTGCAAGAGTAGCCCAGTGGGTTCTGCTCGTTTTATGGACTTGTCGAGCATAATATCTTTCTTCAAGGCTCTTTGTGAAGAACTCTGACCATCGGGTCGGTGGTCTTCGTGCAGTGCGTTTGACATCCAGAGGAATCCAGTGACTAACGGCTCTTGTCCGTCGGTTGTCATTCAGGCGCATTACGTGTCCCGCCCACCTTATCTTCGACTATTTGGGGCAGAGAACGGCATCCTTGATCTTGATCGTTGACGCAGATTGGAGCTTCGGATCCCATCCCTTACTTCTGTGGAACGGGATAGTCCTATCGTCCTTTCGACTGCGCGCTCGACAACGCTGAGTGACCTTTCATCCTGTTTACGCAGCGATCAGGTTTATAACGCATACGTTAGGGCAGGGAGTACCGTTGAGTCGAAAAATTGGGCACGGAGTCGGGTGTTCTTTGTTCTCTTCACTACATCCTCGATGCTCTTGAAAGCTCCTCATGCCGCTCGTTTTCTTCTGCTGGGGTCTGGAGCTAGGTCGTTCATCATGTTGATTTCCCGACCTAGATAGAAATAGCTGGAGCATTCAGAGAGATATTCGTTCCGTTGAGCGTGAATGGAGCATGCGAAACCAATCCGTTCTTCATGAACATCGTTTTTGTGAGATTTAGTCGAACACCAATCTTTCCACAGGCTTTATCAAAGTTGTCAAGCATACGTTCCGCTTGGCTTATGTTTGCTGTTGTCATCATGACATGACAAAGACGATGTCATCAGCAAAGCGAATATGGTGTAACTGCCGGCCGTCTATTTTCACTCCCATATTATCCCATTCCAATGTTCGCATAACGTTCTAGAGGGTGGCGGCAAATAATTTTGGCGAGATGGTATCGCCTTGCCTAACTCCTCTTTTGACGTCAATGTTAACATCGTTGTAGAATGGTGATATCTTGGTTGTGAAATTTTTGTACAGTTCACGAAGAATCTTTATGTACTGAGCAGGGAGTCCTTGACTATCAAGGGCTTCCAAGACTACTTCTGTCTTAACTGAGTCAAACGCCTTCTGTAAATCGATGAAAGTGAGACAGAGCGGTCTTTTCTACTCTCGCGATATTTCGAGCCGTGTTATCGTGTGAATGTGGTCCATCGTACTAAATCCTCTTCGAAACCCTGCTTGCTCACATGGCTGTCGTTCGTTTAGTGTTCTGTCAATCCTGTTTAGGATGACTTGAGTGGAAAGTTTGTAGACGACAGACAATAAGCAGGTTGGGCGATAGTTGCCGATATCGTGCAGGTCACGCTTCTTGAACAATAACACGGTCTTGCCGGTCTTCCACTAATTAGGGACCTTGCATTCAGACAGGTAATGTGTGAAGAGCAGAGTCAGTGTGTTTACGATGACTGGCGGTAGGTTCTTCAGCTTCTCTGATCTTATCCTGTCCTGACCTGGTGCTGTTCGATTGCTCACCGACGAAATGGCATCTCGGATTTCGGAAGAGAGAACCGGTGGTACATTTCCATCCTCCTTTATTTCATATGACGGAAGGTGGACGTGCCTATCAAAGAGATCCGAGTAGTATTCGTGAATGATTTTTCCCATTGCCTTTCTGGACTCTGTAACTGTTCCGTCTGCGCACCGGAGTGCAATCGTTTTGGTCTTGTAATTGGCGAAGCTTCGGTGGGCTTTGCGAACGCTTTTCCCAGCCTCTGCAGCTTCGGCCATTACTGCTGCTCTTCTCTTTCTAATTTCTTCTTTTATCGCTTCTCTGCATTGTTTTACAAGCTCGGACGTTAGTTCGCGGTTGCCTACAGCTCATGCGATACCACGCTGGCGTATCAGCTCGAATGTTTCTGTAGACAGACGTCTCTTGGTGAATTTCGAACTCTGAGCTTTCATAGCGCTAGCGTGAAAGCTTTCATATAACTTAGTTTCCGAAATTTTCTATATCCTTTTTACCGCGACAAGAATTTGTCCTTTTTTTAGAGCGTCGTCAAGGGCTGGAGGACCCTGTACGAGGGTTCGGACTTGGCACAGCTGTCATTCCACCGAATGCGAAATATTTGTTTGGAGTAAGATTCTGTTCTTGAAATCGTGAAATACTTTTTCGAAAGTGCTTTACATCCGCTTTGCAGGATGAGAAAATATGGAACACTGTGAATTCTCCGCTTGTTGAGATGAAGCTCGATGCCATCTGTGGTCTTATCAGGCACCTTGACATTGCACCTAGTCGTTTGGAAAATCTTGTTAGAAAATTTCAGCAGTTGAATCTCTGCGGACTAGTCTTAGCGTCTTGTTCGCTGCAAGATTTGAAGGACGCGCTTGCAGTTAGTTTTTTTTCGCTCCATTTTTGCAGTTGTAGTTAGCAATTTTATTCCCATTTATCAGATTCCACTAGGAGATTGGACAATGGTGAAGATTCTTGTTGAAACGTTGAAAGCGTTTGGTCCAAATGTTCCTGGATTAAGCATTGATAAGGTTATTTTCTCCTTTATTTTCGCATATATATTGGAAGCGATCACTGCATTTTTAGCGAAGGGCACTCACTTTGCCCGAAGAAGATGAAGAAGAATCTGAAGTTCCTGTTACGGGTGGTCGACGTGACACTATTGTGCAATCACCTGTCAAAGCTAGAAGCTCAGATCGACGGAGGTCCCCTTTTTGTCTTGGTTTTACCAGTTCTTGTTTATTCAGATTTGTAAATATTCTTTCTAGATCAACAGCACTATCAAATGAGATAAACAGTGATCATAAATGGCTGATGGAAAGCCTTTCTGGAATGGATCTTAGTTAGTAGAGTTATTCTGCTTAGAATTTTTAATTCTAATATAATAATATAATAAACCCCGAAATTTTCAGCAACTGGTTGTGTAAATATTTATTTATCGACATGATGTGTAAAAGACGAAAAATAAGTTCATCGGGAAGACTGGAAAATCTAGTATTATTTTGGATTCCTCAACTGAAACAAGAAGTTTTGGAGCTTTCTCCATCTTTAGAGGTGTACTGATTCAATTCCATTATCCTTATCGTTTTTGCGATGTGCATATTCGTAGTCGTCGCACCGACTCAAATCAAATGGAGTGGAACACCGCGCGAATGAAGTGTTGTAACAACACTGGCATTCTATACTTGATAGTATTTGACTCACTGTTAAGTGGCTATTTGTTTTTTGTCTTCGTATACGCTGAGCAAGCCAAAAAGATATTGATTATTCATCTCCACTTTGAGGAAAAGTCGATTTACGAAATAAATTGATTTTGAAGCCGAAGTAAATCTTTATTATCCTAACTTTTTGTTTACTGCCTACTAAATTTTGCACGGCAGGGTATTTAGTGAAATACAACCATAATGATGCTGAGACATTTGCAAAACTCCGTACCGCAAGTGTCTACGAGGGGGATCGAACACGCTATTACCCTTTCCGCGCCTTTACCCTTTCCGGGGACTAACGCGTTCAACACCATACCATGCGGATCCTTCGTTTCGCCTACCTCTAAGCTAGTTTTCTCTCTACCAGTTCCATCAGCAACAACTCTTCAACGGGATTGATCTGCCTCAGCAGCCTCACCTTAACTGGGTTCAATGCTGATTTTGCTCCTCAGATCAGTTCTGTTGTTGGGTGATTGCTGATTGCCACTCGTAGATAGAAAATTAGCTGAGAGACGAACGATACGAAGGACCCGCATGATTTGGTGGTGCTCTTGGAGAGGGTAATATCGAGTTCGATCTTCACCCCGGACACCTGCGGTCCACAGTTTTGCAAACGTCTCAGCATCATTATGGTTAAATTTTTATTGTTTCATAGGACTACTGCTTTGCATTTACAGTGTAATTACATGTTGAAAAAGAGTTACTTGTATTTTTAGCTCAAACGGAGGGTGACATCGATTTGGCACCTTCATCTGGGTGCGTCTCTGTTCGCTTTGGCGGTGCTTTAGAAGACGGTCTGGCTTCAGATGCGGACAGCACGGAATCTAGATTTGGAAGCAAGGAGAACCTCCTTGACCCCGATCTAGATCCCGTACCAAGTGGACATTCAAGCATAAGCAATGAAAGGTATGCTAATGTTACTGGTGTTAGTGTTGCCACTGTTACTGACGCTACTATTTATTTCTTTATCTCTCACTGTTTTTTCACTCTTTATGCCGAAGTATATTCTTTATGAATGGCCCTGTAATGTCGACCTGTATAAACTGAATTTGCTGAAAATGTCGGTATAATTTTAGCTTTAGGAATCGTACCACCTACATGAATTTACCTCAGTATAGAAGGATGAGTCGGTATGCGATCATATTGTGTGCGATCATATTGTGTGCATGTTCAATAGTATATATGCAGCTTATGGCATGAAAGTCTTAGGCAGCGTTTTTATTGTTCCCGTTTGCAGTGTAACTCCTGTGTATCTATAGAGTTCACTTCATTAGTTTTGTATTTCCAACCATTGTATGTTTATACAACTTTTGTGCAAAAAGTATATACTATCAATGAAATGTACGTGTCGCTGACTACCATTATTAATCTTTTTGTCGCTACAGTAATTTGAATTCATGTACTTGCAATTTTCAGGGGCGATTTGATGCGTCAGATTCGTGACGACTCTATTCACAGTGCTGTATGTTTAGTTATATCTCTCGTCGTTATCAGTTTACATTTATTCCATTGATTTTTTATTCTCTAAACGTGGAACGCCTCCCAACGGTTTACCGTCTCATCATAGCTAGGTGTTCCTGGGTGTGGCGCTGCGGTGTACAACAGAGAGATTCTTCCACGGGCAGGGTCTTCCAGGTTGAGGAGTCCGGCGTTCCTATAAGGAAGCCCAACTAGTGTTCTTGAGTGTTAAGCCGTGATGTACCATAGGGGATTCTCCCCGGCAGGGTCTCCCAAGCTGGGAAGGAGTCCGGCGTTTATTTCAGGAAGCCCAGCTAAGAGTAAACCAATACCAGGATCCACCACCGTCCTGGTATCAAACTAGTCGCGTGGTGCAAATCTCCCTCTAATACGTAAGGCCAGTGATTGCTTGTGGTGGTGACGACCTGGAGCAGACTTCGGCCTGGTTAACCCTGGGAAACCAGGGAGCCACAGTGGCTAAGCCAGCATCTCCGAAAAAATGGAAATTATGCTCCAGTCAAGACCAGTGAAGATGGCCATCCAAGTATCCAAGTAATGGTCGACTTTTTTGAAAATCGACATGCTATTATCGACAAGACGTGGGGAATACGACCAACTTATCTAGCACTTTTACGATATTGCTAAAATATCTCACATTTTATAAGTCACTGAGAAGTTCCTGTCTGTAGAAACTCGAGAGAATACTTCAGTATAGAGGCGGAAAAGCAGCAGGCAACCACCAACTTGCGTGAGAACTTTCACTGCTCTGGAGACTAGTGATTAAAGGCGATATTTGGAAAGGAACGACAAGTGTAGTGGCTAGAGCTGTTAAGATTGAGAACATCATCATAAATGCCCTCCGGGTCCTCGCACATGATAAGACCAATGTTTTCGGCCTCTGACGCCTGGACAGGGGGTCAAAGCTTTCAAAAAGACGGGAGGAAAAGTCAGCAGCGACTTTCACTCTGACGTAGGGGTAAGGTAGTAATAACTCAGGTAATAATTGGTGGAATTATATTCATATTTTGCTGCTTCTCATTTTCATCACAGTTTTATGGGTTTCCTATTGTTTTCGCACTTTTAAAATGTGATTAATTCTTTAAGGATGCTTTACCATCGCCACTGTCGTCGTTAGTATCTGATGACGATCATCAGGTGACAGTAATGCGTCGCGACGGAGCTGCAGCACCAGCGGTGGATCGTACACAGCTGACACATATGTTTGGTAGAGAGAATGGTAACGCATGATTGAACTAGGGGTTAATTAGCTCGAATGAGACAGTTATTATTGTCAAATCACTAGTCATCAGTAATCTAAACTACGTCTCTTTCGATAACACCGGCCGAACAATTTAACGAACAGTCAAGAGACCTAAATACTCACTACCATAAAACCCTTATATTTGAGATTAAATATGAGGGGTAGTATGAGAGGTCAGATTGTTTCACAATATCTTTAATTCACAGACAAATTTATCGCCTCTGATGTCAACGCCACGTTTATTGTTGTGATTGTTTGTAGAGGAAATATGTTACGTGGTAATAACGTATCACTTATCAAGGCTATCTCCCACAGTTGTTTTGTGGCTTTCTTGCTCTGAAACTCGGTTCTTAAATTAAAACTTACGTGTAAAGTCGAATCTGTGTATGTGATAGGTTTAGATTATTTTGTTCGTCGTAAGATGTTATTCTACTTCAGTGGACTTTTATTTAAGACTTTTAAGATGGTTTTTTAAATTTTTTTTTGCGTGACTTTGTTTCTAGTTTATATTTATTTTACAATCTCATGCTTCGCCATGGCAGTGAACGTTCATCTATGGTTTAGTTTATCTAGAACTACTAGAATCGTAGTGTTTGATGTTATATAAAGGATGTCACAGAAGATGGTATACCTGTCACCATTCAACTTCCACTGCCACGTTGTCTCATTCCATTCTTCGCATAATGTTCTCGAGGGTGGTTGCAAAATTTTTTGGCCACATTGTATCACTTTGTCGTACGCCTCTGCATTGTTATTGTCGTTATAGAGTGACGATATCCTGACTGTAGAGATTGTTATATTGCTCAATAAATATCTTTTATATTGCTCAGCTCAGTGGAATATAGTTCTTCGATTCAGCTCACACAAAATATTCACTAGCTCAAAATAGAGTGGTCGACTTCGCTCGAATTTTCCACGCGACGCTTTTCACCGCTGCCGAAGGGCGATTTCCAAAGTTGGGTTACTAAACTTTTATATATGGCAACAAGCACAATGTAAGCGGTATGAGCGATAAGACGATAAGACGAGAAAAGAGAATCAATAACCAAAGATAAAGTGATGGCTAAGAAGTCATACTGTAACGAAATAGTTAGCGGCGAAGTGTAGCGGTTCAGATTGATGTAGAATATTAGCCACGCGGGTCTTTTAGTTGTTGTAGTCGATCTACCAGCCTCAAACTTGGGTAATTAAACTTTTAATACATGAATACAACACTAACAACATGATAGTAACGATAGAGAAACAATGGTAGAGGAATGACACAAGTTAGAGCTCTGAGGTGCTAAGGCCTGTAGTGAAGTGGGGCTAACAATGAGGCAATGGCATTCAAGCATTATTATACCATTAACACAATATTAACAATAATAATGAGATTACAACGAAGTAGCCTTTGCTTAGCCGTAAGCGATGCCGCGCCGCGTCTAATCGGGGCCGGCGCGGCGGCTGAGGGACACAGTATGTTGGGGGCGGAGGGAGGAGACTGTATGCCGCGGATATGGAGACATGCTGAGGTGGTGAGGGTCACAGACTGGCCGTGTTTCGGCCAAGCTAAGATTTCAACATTATAGCGACGAGGAGCATTTTAGTTGATCGATGAGGACTGTAAGTTACATGAGCGTTGACGGTGCTATGGACAGTGAATGATGAGTCATCTACGGAACACAGGTGGCTGGTCGTGAATAACGCTATGTCAGCAACGTGAACTTTGAGCATCGATGGGTGCCACCATTGCCTAAGGGTAAGGGCCAGTATGATAAATGGCTACAAAACTGATAAGCCTATAGCGGCTTAGCAGAATACATAGCATAAGTTGGCCGCTTAACGGCATTGTACACATTGCGTGTACATTGTGGGAGGAATGGTACATGCCACCGATGGCGTTGCAAACAGAACGCATTTGGTAACACCCGCCACTACTGACA